GGGATGTGAAATGGCAGCATTTTCTCCCCTCCTCCCCTCTTTTCCCCGTTGCACTCTTCATTTTATTTAATTTATTTTTAGTTTCCTGAGACGGGCTGGAGATGGTATGCTTGGTTGCCCTTCTTTTCCCTTGGCTCTGAGAGTTTATCCATGCCAACTGGACCGTAAGTGACTAAAAGAATCAACTGCACATCAGAAAACTCAAAGGCCAGAAGGAAACTTAGAGAGGATCTGGTTCAATGCCTTTTGAAAGAAAATCTCTCACCCCCTTGGAAAACCAAACTCAAATGAAAGAGGAGAGCAAAACTCAGAATTCTTGCTCTCTGAGAACACAGTGTAAAAGCCACTTGTCTAATCTAACCATATTGTTTTGCAGAGGGGTCTCAGGTCTTCCACTGTAGGCCAACTGTACCTCACATTCCTGAGTTGACATAGGTGACTTGGAGTGCATGTATTCCAGACTTTCAGAGGCTTAGCAGTCCCTGAATCAGGCAACAGGAAATGTGATTGGGCAGGGTCTCTGCCTCTTGCTCTGGTCACAGATGCTCCACTTTCTCTTTTCTGGCAGTCCAAGGCCCTGGATCCAACCTGGATTACTGAAATCAGCTCTCATTCTCTCCAGGGGTCCAGGATGTTACAGGGTTCTCTGCTCTCATTAGTCAGTCAGGGTCAAGGGACACAAGAAAAAGGAGCTAGGGAAAATAACTCAGTGGCAAGGCAAAGAGCCTTTGTTAAGCTCTTAAAACTAGAGTTGGGATCTGAGATTAAATTTTACAGATAATATTAAGATTAGGATTAAGGCTAGAGTTTGGATTGGACAGTGGGGCTAATACCATGTTAGGATGGATTATAATGATGACAGGCTTTGAACTGAGAGCGAGTTTCAAGAGTAGGGATTAGAATTAGAGTGGAGGATCATCTGCTTTCTCTCAGGTCTCTACAAGCCCCTTCTTTTTGGTAAAGTCTTCCAGGGCTAAGTAGGTCTTTTGAATTCTTACCAAGAAGGCAGTCATTGTTTGCTCCTGACCTTGAATCACACTAGGCTCTTTTCCATACACCCTCAGTTTCTACTTCAAAAGCTCTGGCTGCTGAAGAATTAATATTATCCTTTACTAGACCCCACTGAGCACATAGATGGCTCCTTTTGGGCCAATGGTGATTGCAAACTACTCCCAGGAGTCACATCACAGGTTCATCTGGAACATTAATACACGATAGAAAATAGTCAAGACAATTACGACAAAAGCACTCTGCCAATTACCCCCACACTTTGCTCCCCTAATTTGATGATGCCCTGAAATTTTATGTCCTCTCTGAGCTTTCAGTCAACTAAGTGGGCTTGTTATAGGAATTGGATCAAGGGCTCTATAGATAGAGACACTGGGAACTAAGAGTAAAGAGTTAGCTGGCTAGGAGCGTCATAAGCAGCAGCTAAATACTGTCTCATCTTATACAACTTCAGTGTGACAAAAAAGCTGGCAGCCTTGTGATGAACGAGGTCAGGAAAAAAAAAAAAAAAAAAAGCAGAGAACTTCAGTGTCTTCTAGGGAGGATGGGTTGGTAACTAAGACATTCCCCCAGGATTGTCTAACTATGACTCCAATCCATTTGTGGGTCTCACATTGACTAACAAATTATTGTGCCTTTTTATTCATGTAACAAATATTTATTGAATGCCTCCCAAATGCACCTTGAGTATTGTGTATATCACAGGAAACAACACAGACATGATCTTTGGAGACTCACAAATACATACTTAATTATAAAGTGTGATAGGTACTATAAAGAAAAAGAGTACCATGTAAGATAATAACAGGGCCAGCTAATTTTGATTGGGGCTTGGGTCAGGGATGACTTCTTTGAAGGAGTTCCATTTAAATTCAGGCCTGAATTTGTTTAAGTAGGAGTTAGTCTGTTGAAAAACCTTAACGTGTCAATTGTTCTTTATGCTTTTGAAGTTCAGCTGCAATTTACTCCTTTATGGTCTGTGGTGGACATTTTTTGGAATCTTTGCCAAGTACATAACTTTCTTTGAGAAGACAGCGTTCAAAGATGGGGTTCTGGCAGCCACGTTTGCATTACAAAACAAAGAGACCTGACTACATATTGCCCTGTTGGTCAAAGGTGATTGTACCAAGAGTACATAAGCGGACATAAATTGAACCAATCAGTTTCTTGTTCCTGGGCATTGGGATTCATAAATACTAATTAGTCTCTGTTTGTTCCTGAAGTAAGGCTGGGTAAACCTGGATTATGTTCCCAAAAAAGCAGTGAAAACAGCTCTGCTGAGATTATAAAGCAGCTTTGTAGACAGAAGCAGAGATGGAAGAATATGTAACCATAGAGAAAAAGATACTGAAAAAAACCAAACACTTGGCTCCCTGTTGATGTATTAGGTACCTATTTCAGTCCTGGTGAATGCTACATTTTATTAATCCTTTTAGTCTCCAGAGTGCTTAGGAAATTCCTTGTGTATACTGGGTACTCAATAAATGTTTGTTGAATAACTGGCAAACAGGAAAGCAGTTTGGAAAATGACAATCACTTTTTATGTTGAATTCTCTTTTTAGTTGTGGAGTTTCCTTTTCTTTGTCTTTTTTTTTTTTTTTTTTCCTTTTTGTGGAGAACGGGGTCTCGCTATATTACCCAGGCAGGTCTCGAACTCCTGGGCTCAAGCTATCCTCCCGCCTCTGCCTCCCTGAGAGCTGGGATTACAGGCGTGAGTCACCGCGCCCGGCCGAGTTTCCTTTTCTGTCCATAAAAGAAAATCATCAAGATGTCAAGAGAGACAGTCCCACTTAATCTTTGTTAAACTCAAAGGGTTTTAAGTATCTCACGTATCTGGGAATTTTATGTCGGTTTAAATGAAGATTTAAGGGTAATATGAATCCAGTGAGAGCAAGGTGTGCTGTATGGCTTTATCCTTTCTATGCAATTTTTTTTCTTTTCTTTCTTTCTTTTTTGTTTTTTTGAGAGTTTCGCTCTCGTTCTTGTTGCCCAGGCTGGAGTGCAATGGCATGATTTCGGCTCACTGCAACACCCGCCTTCCGGGTTCAAGTGATTCTCCTGCCTCAGCCTCCCGAGTAGCTGGGATTACACGCGCGCCACCATGCCTGGCTAATTTTTTGTATTTTTTAAAACTAGCGAAGGGGTTTCACCATGTTGGCCAAGCTGGTCTCGAACTCCTGACCTCAGGTGATCTACCTGTCTTGGCCTCCCAAAATGCTGGAATCACAGGCGTGAACCACAGCGCCCGGCTTTTTCTATGCACTTTCTTACACATATACTTATTGAAGGCTTTGGAAAATCCACAAAATTAAAACTAAATATTGTGCATAATAAATTATCTCTCACGTTTTGGGGTGTTTTGGCTTTAAGTGGCTTGATTTTTGCAATCATTAACTGCACCATCAACAGCATTTGTGGCATACTAAGATAAATGCGATCCTTGCTCTTTGGAGGCCAAAATAAACATCAATGTTAACAAACCCACAGAGAATGCACAAAACAGAAATGTTATATGGTATATAAAGAAATAAGATAGCAACATTTGGTAACCAGATTAATCTAGGTAATACTCTCTCTGAGGCTCTCATATACCCAACAGGCCGGGAGGGTGTACGGCAGCTATTCCTAAGAGCCAGGAAGTCTTCCTCAGCGATGGGTTTCCAAAAGGTCTGAAGGATGTTGCCTCCGTGTTGAACTTAGTTATCAATAATCGGTTTCTCTGTTCACGACTGGCTGGAGATCAGAATGAGCTCAGGAGCAAGGACTAGCAGCGTTAAAGGATTTATTTTCTTTTTCTTTTTTTTTGGCCGGATCTCAGCTCACTGCAACCTCTGCCTCCCGGGTTCACGCGATTCTCCTGCTTCAGCCTCCCGAGTAGCTGGGACTACAGGCGCCCGCCACCTCGCCCGGCTAGTTTTTTGTATTTTTTAGTAGAGACGGGGTTTCACCATGTTAGCCAGGGATGGTCTTGATCTCCTGAACTCGTGATCCACCCGTCTCGGCCTCCCAAAGTGCTGGGATTACAGGCGTGAGCCACCGCGCCCGGCCAAAGGACTCATTTTCTTAGTGTCTCAAACTTCTTTGATCACTTACCAATTTCCATTACTGATTCCGCCACAGCTCCCCTTTCCCCTCCAAAAACCAAACGTGTCAGCTGTAGGAAGAAGTGAGGCTCTCCTAGCCCAGGCACAGGGAATGGACTTGTGGCTCTGTGGTTGGGAGTGGAGAGACAAGGAACTTCCGAACACCGGTGGGGGAAGAGACTAGGAACTTGCCCCAGACAAGGGGCTGCGGGAGGGGCATTTCCCAAAAGTTCCTGTCAAGAGACCAGTATACCGGGTAGAACTCGAAGAGTTGTTTGGGTGTGGGGAGACCAGGAAGAGAGAGAGATTCCCAGGGAGTTGGCAAATTGGGGAGAAAGGCTCCGCGGCATCGCCTAGGAACAAGAGCTGCAGCTCCAGGGACCTTGACTCCGACGTCCCCGGGAAGTCCGAACTCCACTTCCGCGTTTGGCATTCCTCCCCTAGGCCCCTCCTCGCACTCGGTTACGGGGTCTGCGGGCGCATGCGCCGCCGCTCAGGGACTGGCCCAATTTACCCTAAACAACTAATCTGCTCCTCCCCCTCCCGCTTGGAGCGCACCACTCGCGTTTAGGGGGAGACACCGCGCCCCGGAGTACTCAGAAACCTGCTCCCCTTCTTCAGACAGGGGGAAGATAAGGTTGCTTCAGATTTTAAAAGTTCTAAGAATACGAAGGCCTCAGCCGCCTGTCGCCAGGCGAGAGCCCGAGGCTCTCACTTTCTCCCACAGCCCCGCACTCCGCCTTTGAGGCGCGGAACAAAGTGGCACGCCCGGATCCCAGCTGATCAGCTGCTGGGCTTTGGCGGTGGCTCCCCCGGGCGAGACCATTGTGACTCCTCGGAAGGGGTGCATTAGAGGGGAGGGGGCGGAGCGGCCATTGTCCGGTCAGCGCAGCCTCCGGGGGAGGGGCCGGTGTTACGGAGCCAGCAGGGCCCGGGGCTTCACAGCGGCCGCTGCGACTCCGGAGCCGGCGGGGACCTCCGGTCCTTCCCCGCGCCACCGCACGGGACATCGCTCTGGCTGGGGAGCGGCGGTGGGAGCCGTCGAGGGCGTCGGTGTCCCTCCTCCCCCGCGGTCCTCCGTGCGTCCGCACGCCCCTCCTCCTCGGCTCCCTCCTTCTCCTCTCCGCACCTCCCCGGCCCCCCCGTCTCCGCAGGCCGAGTGGTGCGGCCCGCCTCCAGCTGACCGGCCTGGAATCCCGGCTCCGAGCCCCGGACTCGCGCCCGCCCGCGCGCCCGCTCCCTCCCCCTCCCCCCGCCCCGAGCCCCCCGACGCCGCCGCCACCTCCTCCTCAGAGCGGGGCCCGGGCCCAGCCGCCGCCACCGCTGCCGCCGCCGAGCTCCGCCGCCGCCGAGCACCATGGGAGACGCTGGGAGCGAGCGCAGCAAAGCGCCCAGCCTGCCGCCTCGCTGTCCCTGCGGCTTCTGGGGGTAAGTGCCCGGCCGGGTGGGGGCGGGGGCCGGGGGCGCGGACGCCAGGGCTGCCTGGGCAGGCCGCGGGGCCCGGGATGCCGGAACCCTGGAGGCTGGGCCCAGCCCGGGCCTACGGGGAGGGGGTGGGGGTCGCGTTCCGGGGAGGGATGCCGGGTGGGGAGCTGGGGGTGGGCAGAGAAGGCCCTTCCGGGGGTGCGTTGCCACCCTTTGGGACCCGCCAGCCTGAAGCTCGGGCCCACGGGGGCCTCCTGGGCCACGGGTGAGGGGGGCAGGGCGGCGGGGAGGGATGAGGGGGCGGCGTTGACCGCTCCGGGAGGAGCAGGAGTGCCCCTTCCCTGGGCATGTGGAAGCCAGCCCTTCCTCCCTCCCGGGGCTTGAGTTGGTGCCCAGGCATTAGGAGGGTATTTCCTCTGACTTTTTCACCTCCCCTCCTCCCCGTCCTCCGGAGACTTGCATCATCACTTCCTAGATTATATCCCAGTGCCCCATTTGCTTTTAGGAAGCTATTCTCACGTCACCCGTTTGTAAAAACCGAGTCCAGAACCAGGCTGGGGTAAAGTTATAAGACTGTTGAGGTCTCACCTTTATGTAAAACACGTTTCAGGAGATTTGTAAAATTCCCTTGTCAAAAAGGAAGAAGAAAACCACACAAAACCTGAAGTCAGCCTGGATTGGGGAATATGAGATCCAGTTTCCTCAATTGGTTCTCAAATTCCCCTCTTTCTCAATTTAAGTAAAAATAATAAAAATGTTCACAGTGGATAGCGTATATTGTTTGGCCATCATGTGTTAGGGCGAAAAAAAAAGTGAGGTGGGAAATCAGCTCCCTCTTCCTCCCCCCATTACAGTTTAAATTCTCGTGGTAACACTTTAAGCTTCATGGATTGCCACCTAACAGGTGCCTCCATCATACCACATGACTGTAGTTCTGCAGTAAGAAAGCTGGAGACTTTAAAGGCCGGCTTTTGTGATTTGAGTCCTTTTTATCTTTTATCGTTTTGTTTTAGTTTTATTTTTTGAAAGATTCAGTATATTTGGAGACGCAGAGGCAGGAAGGAAGATTGTTTCTGGTGAGGACATCTTGGGAAGAAGTATGGAAGTGGTTTCCCTTTGCTATCTCCCATATTGTAGGAATGGTTAACAAATTAAGGGTAATTTTGGGAGTGCAGAGAAAGATTAGAAAGTGGATCTTAATGTGAACTTCTGTGGAAGCTGTCGTATCTCAAGGTTATGACAAAGAAGTGGATTTTCATTTTCTCATTTTTCTGACTTTCTTTCTCGAAAATTTCCCTGTGGAAGGATATTAGTCAAAAAGAAGTTATGGCATGTGTAAAGTCCTAAAAATGTGAAAATATTTCTATTCTTCCCTTCATTTTTATTTGAAAATAATTGGTTTGCCTGTGAAGTGCTTTCATGGACTGTCTAATTCCCACAAGAATCTTGCGAGGTAGGAACCATTATCTCATTATTAAATGGGGAAACTGAGGCTTAGGGTGGATAATTTGCCCCTTCACACAGGGAGTGTAGGGTGGAGCTGGTGAGCTCTTTAGAGTGCTTAGTACCATCATGTTTATGACATCAGTCTGCTGCCCTGGAAAAATCTTGTGTCACAAGCCTCAGATTGTAACTCATTATAAGACATGTGTCCTGAAGAAAGTTGCTGCGAGTGGCAGCTAATGCTCAGGATGTATCAGGTCTCTCTCCTGGCAACACGTTTATGCCCTTCGGACTATTATGAATGGAATCTTTATTGAAAGACTTATATCAAGGCTTAGAGATTAAGGAAATGGAATAGTGTTTTACATTTATTTATTTGTTTGTTTATTTTTGAGACGGAGTCTTGCTCTGTTGCCCAGGCTGGAGTGCAGTGGCGTGATCTCGGTTCACTGCAGCCTGCACCTCCCGGGTTCAAGCAATTCTCCTGCCTCAATCTCCTAAGTAGCTGGTACTACAGGTGCACACCACCATGCCCGGCTAATTTTTGTATTTTTTTAGGAGAGATAGGATTTCGCCATCTTGGCTAAGGTGGTCTCAAACTCCTGACCTCAGGTGATCTGCCTGCCTTGGACTCCCAAAGTGCTGGGATTACAGGTGTGAGTCACTTCATCCGGCCAATTTTACACATTTTAAATAATGATGATGATTATCATCATTAATGACTGTAGGCCAAACAAAAGGACAAAGTAGGAGGATCACTTGAGCCCAGGAGTTTGAGACCAACCTGAGCAACAGCAAGATGTTGTCTCTAAAAAAGTTTTAAATTATCCGGGTGTGTTTGTGCATACCTGTGGACCAACCTACTTGAGAGGCTGAGGCAGGAGGATCACTTGAGCCCAGGAATTTGAGGCTACAGTGAACCATGATTGCGTGACTTGCTTTCCGGCCTGGGTGACAAAGTGAAACCGTGCCTTGAAAAAGTAAATCAGTAAACGAAATGATTGTAAATAATGAGTGACTGTAAATAGTAAATAGTAAATCATTTTTCTGTCATAGGGTAATGTTGAAAGTTTCAGAGGTCTTTTGTTTATAACAGGCATGAGCCACCACGTCCAGCCAGCCTTTTACCTTTAGCCGGTAGGGTTCTGATAATGCCCAGAGAGTTTGGTGGCAGCAGATAGGAAAAGTTACACTAATGTTGTACTTGACCTATAAGCAACCAGGGCTGCTTTTTAGATACTTTCACTCTGATACTTTTTATGAACTGCAATTTACCTAGCAGGAGCAGTGACCACAAAACTAATATTTTTATGGTGAAAAGTGTTCTTTTTGGTGCAATGTTTGAACCTTTCCTAAGGACTTTTATATACAATTGTGTAGTTTGTATTTTATACCAAAGCATAACAAAATTGCTGCCTTGTTTCCATTGTATCATAACCGACTTTGAACATGTTTCCCTTACTGCATGGGCCACATTCATATTATGTAAACTTAGAATATATTTAACAAATATTTGAATGCCTGTGATATAATGGTGGGCAAGGAGGTGCTGGCCCCATACTCTGGGTCAGGGGGCACAGGGAAGTAAACTGACAGTTGCAATACATTTTACAGGTGCTGTATGGGAGGGGCACCTACCCTAGCTGGGGTGGAGGTAGAGGAAGGTAGCCTGGAGAAAGTGACACTTTTGCCTAGACCTGCAGGAAGGGTAGAAGGAGAGTATGGAAACAAATATTCCTTTCAGGCAGTGGGACTAACGTGGGTGAAGGCCGGGATGTGAGTGAGAGCACTACGCATTTGAGGAACAGGTTTGTTGGGTCTGTTGGTAGATTGTGAAGGGGGATCACAATCTAGAGATAAGGCTGGAGGATTGAGAGGAATTGGTGATACAGGGCCCTCATAGGTAATGCTGAGGACTTTGGACTTTTATCCGGAGTGCAGTGAGGAGCTACTCAAGAACTTTGATCAGGGAGTGATGTATATCTTTAACGTGAAAGATTATTGGTTGTTCTTGAGAGTAGCCTGGGTGTGTGGGTATGATTCTGTGTGTCTGTATGAATGTGATGTATGTGTTTTCGTGGAATGTTGCCAAGTCCAGATTTGCCATGGTTGTGGCATGAACCAGTGTAATGGCTGGGGAGAATAGAGAGCCATTCAGGAGGTATCTTTTGCCTTTTCCCTTCATGAAAATAAAGGTGAATATGTTCTAAAAAATTTTGTGCGGCATTGCACTCCTTGGAAGCTCTAGGTCTAAAATCAGCTAGCCAGGGCCCACACCCAGCCCTTTGCTGAGGAGCCTCTCAGCAGAATGTTCTGGCACCAGCAGACTAACGGCAGTTCCTTTAGGATTGCTGCTCTTTCCAGTGACTCAGGCTGCAGGACTTGCTGCCCAGCATTGCCCAGTCAGGACACTAATCAGTGGGGCTTGGTTGAATAGGAGAGCTTTAACTGCATTCTCTTGTGAAAATGCAGTTAAAGAAGAATGCCAAGAGGAGTGTACAATTCAAATGCATTAGTGCTTGTAACACTTAGTTTCCAGTTCTCTCCCTCTTGGCTTATGTTGTATAATTGTGTATAGGTAATTAAGTTATTTTATAGAGACCATCTCCACTGGGAAACTTTGCTACCATGGAAATTGTTGAATATTAACCAGTTGATAATGAAGTTGATAATAACGTTACAAGTTGTTTGTATTACATATATATTTTTTTGTTTTGTTTTTTTTGAGAGGGAGTTTCACTCTTGTTGCCCAGGCTGGAGTGCAATGGCGCGATCTCGGCTCACCGCAACCTCTGCCTCCCGAGTTCAAGTGATTCTACTGCTTCAGCCTCCCGAGTAGCTGGGATTACAGGCATGTGCCACCACACCCAGCTAATTTTATTTTTAGTAGAGTTGGGGGAGGCTGTTCTCGAACTCCCGACCTCAGGTGATCCGCCCCCCTCAGCCTCCCAAAGTGCTGGGATTACAGGCGTGAGCCACCACTTGTAGCCGGTATATATATTAACATCATATTTTTAGGATTAAAACAAATTTTTCCTCGAGACATGGACTTAAAACTTTCAGTGAAATATGAACATTTTCTTGGCTCATTTTAGGCATTCAGTACTCAGGCAAAAAACGTATTTGTTGATAATTGTTGTATCTGAAATGAAATAGTCAATTAGTACATTTTCTTTAGTTGAAATATACAGATACATGAAAACACTTAAACTATGCAGATATAACTGGTATTTGTTGAAGCTGCATTTTAAATTATTTAGACATTTAAAAAGTGCTGAGGCATGTAGATTCCTCACAAATATGAAGACCTAGACTATTACAGAAAAGATAGGAAGAAAAATAAGGATAAGAATATAGTATGTGTATTACAGGATAACAGGATAATTAGGATGGAAGACGAAAGTGTTTTCTAATTTTATTTAAGTACAGAAATATAATTACTATTGATATTTTGCTTTCACAATTGGAGATAACCTCATAATGACATACGGAAACCTTGGGAATTACTATTTTGTAAATAAGCTTAAAGCGTAGTAGATATAAGCATTCAGTCTGGTATT